TATTTACCGGCTTTATACTTTATATTAAAATCATATCCTCCTAATGTAATATTCCACTTCTGGAGTCTTAACGACATGGTGCTATTATCCTTAAGACCCTTGGTAAAAATGTGAACTAGAGGTTTATGGTCAGTAATAATTGTAAATTTTGTGCCTATTAAATATTCCTGGAATCTCTTTATAGCGAACATTATAGCGAGAGCCTCACGCTCAATATTGGTATAGTTCATTTCAGATTTTAATAAAGTTCTCGACGCGAAAGCTATAGGTTTTTCTTTACCATCTTTTTCAATATGAAATAGTACAGCTCCTAAACCACATTTCGATGCGTAAGTGGCTATCCCTATAAGTAATTCAGGGTTAAAATATGTCAAAGCAGGTGGAAGACTAATCAACTTCTTAAGATCATTAAAACTTTTAGAGTGTTCAAGGTTCCAAGCCCATTTTTCTTTGTTGACAATCTTATACAAAGGATCGGCTATTTCTGCAAAATTGTTCAAAAATTTTCTATAGTAGCCAGCCTTCCCAGAAATGTCGATAATTCAGCAGCTGATTTTGGTTCTGGCATATTAATTATAGCTTCAATTTTGTCGTGATTAGCATGAATACCCTTAGCGTCAATATCATGACCCAGGAACCTCACTTTGTTTTTAAAGAACACACTTATATTGAAGTTAGGTATTAGCCCAAACGATGATATTCTATCAAACACTTTTTTATGTTGTTAAGGTGGGCTTCATTGTTTTTTCCAGTTATAAGTAAATCATCAATATAAAATATGAAGTCATCCATGTCACCTAAGATTTGATCCATTATCTGTTCAAAAATTGCAGATGAGGTCTTAAGCTCAAAAGGAAGTCTAGTAAATTGGTAATATCCCTTGTGCGTAAATATGGTTAAAATATTTCTGCAACTTTTATCAATTGGGATCTGTAAAAAAGCATTTTTAAAGTCAATCTTCGTAAATTTCTTTCCTTCTGAAAGTTTAGCTATTAGATCATTGATTCATGGTAGAGGGTATCTGAAATCTTCTAGAGCTGGGTTTACAGTGTCCTTAAAATCAGCATAAAGCCTAATGCTCCCATCATCTTTGTAGACCCCGATAATAGGACGTGCCCATCGGACATCATTTATCGGCTCAACAATTTTATCATGTATCCATTTTTTTAGTTCATTGCTTACAATATCAATTTTTGAATAAGGAATGCGTCTAGGCGGTATAATTTTAGGTTGGGCATCTCTTTTTAAACGTAACATGACACTTGCTTTGTTGATTGGCCCATTAGTCAATTTGGATTCGCATTCTTTAATCAATTTTTTTATTTCATCTTCGTAATTAGTGTCAATATTTGCTATAATTTTATTTAAAATATTTTTGAAAGCGTTGATCCATGTGCGTCCCACATTGGCGTACACAGCGGGGGGAAGGGCAAAAGGACAAATCCCCCCCCCCAAAGCCAAAAAATGCAGATGCCGGATATATTTTTCAAAAATATTATTGTTTATATTAATTTATATTTGTTAATATTTATTCGTCATATTAAATATATATTTAATTACATTTTTTATCGCATTTATCTACTAAGTTATTTTATCAATTAAATTCGATTTTAAGTTTTCCGGCGTAATATTTACTTATTATTTTCAAATTTTTAGTGGCGTAATATTTATCTAACATTTTCAAATTTCTAGTCAAATAATAATTATTTCTGAAACTTCTTGTCCAACAGGGAAAAAGAAATTGCAAGTCCAACGAGATAGAATATCTGCCATCAAGCAGTAACAGCTTAAGGAGTTAGAAGAGCCAATTATTTGCTATTACTGAAATATCACAATGGCCTGAAAGAAATATTTCCTCAGAAGCAAAAAAATTATTGGATACAATGCTTATTCCAAATTTTATTTCTCATTTGCATGTATTATTTAATTATACAATTATTTTAAGTATTACTTTTCAAAAACATGACATTGACTTGATTAAGAAAATGAGAATAGCGGAGAGCATTTTATCAGAACTCGAGGAAATTAGGGCTAATGTTGATGAAGAATTTCATATTTTATATTTTGTATTTTATTGTTGAGTCAAAAGCAGAGTTATACGTGTTTAATATTTGTCTCCCTCGACTTGTAGCAAGGCAAGCTCATCGTTAAAACATTAATATAGGATCAGTAGAAGAGTATATCTTAAGTCAGATACATTTATAACCCAAATAAATGAATTTTTAATTCATCATGCAGCACTTACTAATCTGCAAATAACTTCCACAAAAGTCTTCCCAACCTTTTTCAGATGGTGATAGAAAAAAAAATATTTGTTAGATTTTTATTATGTATATGTTAAAGTATCTTATGATGCCTTACTAGCTGAATAACTATGTTTATAAGATTAACTATGGTTAATATAGTACCAAAAAATGTTGTGGATGCTCTGCATTATTTCAAACACATTTTAGATTAAATTCCCAATGTATTAAAAGGGTTTATAAACTCTTCCCATTAGTAAACTAATGAGAGAACATTCTCTTTTTTAAGAAGAATAACAGAGGCCTGGAGAAGTACCATTTGCAGGGCATGACCCGGATTTTTTTAAAGATTTTTTACGGCCTGGCCTAGGTTTTTTTAAAAAAATTTCAGGCCCGGCCCGGCTTTTTAAAAAAAAATATTTAGGCCCGACTCGGCTTTTTTTAAAAAAAATTTAGGCCCGGCCTGTAACGTTTTAGATGAACTCCCGATTTAAATAGATTCTAATTTAGTGATATTGGCATTTATGACTGACATGTTAAAATTTAACCTTATTTTTTTTTAGTGATATTGACATATTTGATTGAAGTGGGAGTTCGTTTAAATCAGATTTATGAAGAATCTATCAAGATCAATTGTAAATGTTTCTGGCTTACAAATTTTGCAAAGTAGTAAATAATATATTCTTCTAATATCTTAATTTAATTAAATTTAGATAAAGTATATTAAATGGCATAAAAACCAATTATTCTACCAATACTCAACTTTGCAAAGTAAATAATTGTAAATTTTTCTAATAATAAATTTTAGCAATTTTAATAAAATATTTATTTATTTTGAGTATACCTACTATATCAAGATTAATTGTAAATATTGCTGGGCTACAAATTTTGCAAAGTAGTAAATAATATTTCCTTCTAATATCTTAATTTAATTAATTTTAGATAAAGTATATTAAATGGCATAAAAACCTATTATTCTACCAATACTCAACTTTGCAAAGTAAATGATTGTAAATTTTTCTAATAATAAATTTTAGCAATTTTGATAGAATATTTATTTATTTTGAGTATACCTAATAAATTTTAGCAATTTTAATAGAATATATATTTATTTTGAGTATACCTAATAATTTTTTATTTCAATTAAGCTATTTAAATCTTTGCTAACTTAAAAAAATATTGCAAATTTTTTCTATATGATAAATTTCAGTATTGCAAATAAAATGATTGCCTAAATACACTGAAATATTCTTTATTTTATTGTAATTAGGTTTATTTAAATCTTTGCTAACTTATAATAATATTGTAAATTTATAATAAATTAAATTTTTGGATATGGTCTTAGCATGATAATTTTTCATTATAATTAAGTTTATTTAAATCTTTGCTAGCTTAAAAAATATTGCAAATTTTTTCTATATGATAAATTTCAATATTGCAAATAAAATGATTGCCCAAATACACTGAAATATTCTTTATTTACTTTAAATAATATATTTATTGTATTTTAGTTTATTTAAATCTTTGCTAACTTAAAAAAATATTGCAAATTTTTTCTATATGATAAATTTCAGTATTGCAAATAAAATGATTACCTAAATACATTAGAAATATTCTTTATTTTATTGTATTTAAGTTTATTTAAATCTTTGCTAACTTAAAAAAATATTGCAAATTTACAATAAATTAAATTTTTGGATATGATCTTGGGCCTGATAATTATTCATTCCAATTAAGTTTATTTAAATCTTTGCTAACTTAGAAAATATTGCAAATTTTTCCTATATAATAAATTTCAGTATTGCAAATAAAATGTTTGCCTAAATACACTGAAATATTCTTTATTTTATTGTATTTAGGTTTATTTAAATCTTTGCTAACTTATAAAAATATTGTAAATTTACAATAAATTAAATTTTTGGATATGGTCTTAACATGATAATTTTTCATTCCAATTAAGTTTATTTAAATCTATGCAAACTTAAAAAATTTTGCAAATATTTTTTATATGAAAAATTTCAGAATCGCAAACAAAATGATTGCCCTAAATACACTGAAATATTCTTTATTTTATTTTAAATAAGTTTATTTAAATTTCTTTGCTAACTTAAAAAATATTGCAAATTTTTTCTATAAGATAAATTTCAGTTTGCAAACAAAATGATTGCCTAAATACACTGAAATATTCTTTATTTTCATTGAATACTATAAATTAAATTTTTGCATATGTTTTTGGGCCATTTATTATATATATTATTTTTTTATTCATTTCAACAGTTGTTTTTGATACCAAAATTATCCTTTGTTTCCCCAATCAAATGACGAAAGACGATAAATCAAGTAAATAAATTTTGTTTAGTATATTTCTATTCATTTTAATAGAATTCGATGAGATACAGGATTATTTTACCAAAAATATCCATCATCTATGTCTTCCAATAAAGGCTTAAGACGCAATCTGCGAGTTCAGGCCTCGAGATATAAAATTTGTAAGGGTAAAATGCTTACCATTCTCATAATGGTGAAGTTGTTTTGGACCTTGACCGAAGAATTCAACTTCTTCAAATGGTTTTAGTGGATGTGATACTAATGTCAGCAATATCTCTTGCTGCCCATTTTGGTATCACCAAGACTTACAGCAAATTGGCTGATAGGTAAAATATATAAAAATTATAATATTATATGATCAATAATATATTTTTAAATATAATACACAATAATAAATTGTTTCACCATTTTTATAATAGTGAAACAATTTTAGATTGTAACAGAAGAGTTTAACCTCTTTAAAAAGTTATAGTGGAGTGGATGTGATACTAATGAGGCAAAATCTTTAGCTGATTATTTTGGTATCACCAAGACTCACAGCAACTTGACTAGTAGGTAAAATATTTCTGCATAATAAATCTATTTATTATATCGTGTATTATATTTTTAGCTTCTGGTGGCCAAATATGAAATTGGATGATGTTAATTTTGTAAAATGTTGTGATATTTGCCAGCGTAGCAACACAAGATTTGACAAAACTAACAATGAGCTGCATTCAATTCTTATTCCAACAAAGGTATTAAAGTTGATTACATAACAAATTTTTAACAAATTTTTAATAAGAAAATTTTTATAGTTTTGTCATTATAATTGTTTCTAATTAGGTATTAAAGTTGATTACATAACAAATTTTTAATTGGAAAATTTTTATAGTTTGGTCATTATAATTGTTTCTAATTTTTGTTTATGTATTTTATATTTTTTATTTGTAGCCTTATTAATGATCTGTCTATTATAGCTTATATGTATGTGGCACTTGTTTTTATTAGTTATGTTGGTTTCATATATTGAACCATTTAAATTTTATTGATTTTTTTTTACAAGAAATATATCATATATATATCTTTACACGTCAATCATAAATGTCAGTATTATTAAAAATATTATATTTAATCTTTACACGTCAGTCATAAATGTCAATATCACTAAAATATTATATTTGATCTTAACATGTCAGTCATAAATGTCAATATCACTAAATTAAAATCTATTTAAAACAGGGATTCACTTAAATATCTATAGCAATAGAAAATATAATATTTGATCTTTACACGTCAATCATAAATGTCAGTATCACTAAAAATATTTTATTTTATATATATGCGCGTCAGTCATAAATGTCAATATCACTAAAAAATAATATTAAATCTTAACATGTCAGTCATAAATGTCAATATCACTAAATTAAAATCTATTTAAAACAGGGATTCACTTAAATATCTATAGCAATAGAAAATATAATATTTGATCTTTACACGTCAATCATAAATGTCAGTATCACTAAAAATATTTATTTATATATATGCGCGTCAGTCATAAATGTCAATATCACTAAAAATAATATTAAATCTTAACATGTCAGTCATAAATGTCAATATCACTAAATTGGAATTTATTTAAAACGGAATTCATTTAGAACGTTGCACCGGCCGGATTTTTAAAATAAATTATATTTATTTTTGATTTTTATAGCTAATAATAACGATTTCAAATATAGGCTGTTTTAAAAAATACAGCCCGGATTTGGTGTTTTTTTAAAATAATTTCGGGCCCGGCCCGGGTATATTTAAAAAAATTAAAATAATGTCCGGCCTAGGGGCCGGGCCTGCAGATCTCTGAAAAACATACCAAGCAAGAAGTACAACATCTGAAAGTAGATTGAAAGATTTGGATCTTTTGAATATTCATAGGCATTTGATGACAAGCAAGGATGAGATATTGAAAAATTAGCTCAATCACAACGAAGATTGGATTTTACATTGTAAATTTATAACATACAAAATGCAATTATTCCTAAGAAACTTTTTGTGTAAAGGCTCAAAAAATTCAAATTTTTATTTTGGGTCATTTAAGTGATTCTTTACATATAATTTTTTTATAATTCACATTAATTTAAATTGTGTATTAGAAATAGTTATTAGTCCTAATAAATTTATGCTTGATATTTTTAAAAAACAATAATATTTCTTAAAAAATTTTATTATCCCCCCCCAGACCAAATTCCTGCTTACGCGCCTGGCGCCCCAACAAGGCATTTTTACTTGATTCGACGACTACCGCTTGTAAACATTTTGAGATACCTTCATAAGTCACTTTAACTTGAGTGATGCCGATGATTTGGATTAAATTTCCGTAATAAGCGGTAAGTTGTAACTCTGATTTTTTAACATCTCTAATACCAAGTTTTTTAGCCAGACCATGAGGTATAATCGTATGTTTTGAGCCTGTGTCGACTTGCATACATGTAACAATATCGTTCACTTTTAAAGTAGTCATAAATGCATTATCTTTGTCATTGAGCATGTCACCAGATATGTTGTTAACATTGAAATCGTTATTATCTTTGTTCTTTGTAGAGTCAACTTTCTCTTCAATAATTTCATCAATATTCATATTGTAATCATTGTTATTGTATTGTATTTGCTTTCTATTATTGTTGTCGCTACCTCTATAATTATTTGAGTTGTTATTATATTGTATTTGCTTTCTCTGATTATTGTAACTACCTCTATAATTATTTGAATTGTTGTAATAAGATTGGTAATTGTTACGATTTCCTTTACCGTATTGGATCTGTTTTCTTTGATTATTATCATGCCATGTATTATTTCTATCATAATTAGATTGATTATTATTGTTGTAGCGATAGTTATTGTAGTTATAGTTGTTATAATTATCGTGGTATCTCGAACTATTATTACCGTAATTCCTATCATTGTATCTAAAATTATTGTTGTAATTCCTATCTCTATTTCTATTATCATAATTATTTCTAAAATTACTTCTAAAATTATTATCAGGTCTAAAATAATTATGAATATTGTGCCCCAAACCTTCCAATTTCTTTCTGAAGAAGAAGTCGAACTAGGAAATGTTGGTAAAATATTAGCTACTTCTCTTAATGGGCAAGGTGGGCAAAGTACATTTCACCAACTTGAGTCCGAAATCTGATTGTTTTATATGGAAGTTACCACTTTCCACATATTTTGGCTATTAAATATGCTGCTTTTACTTCTGATATTTAATATAACTTAAATTGTTTGGATTATCCCCACCTTGTAAAATACATAATTCTTGTTATTAAATCACATGCTTCATCAAATTCAGCATATATAAGATGCTCCCCTTGATATTTGGGGTCCAAAAAATAAGCAGCATTGTGAGCATATGTATTTATATCATTTTTTTCTCTTTTCAAACATAACTTTAATTTTTGTTTCTTGAGATGGAGAAAATATAGAATCATGGCATGATTGTATTATGTGTTTTTCCAAATTAAGCATCTCGTATTTTAGGTGGGCCAAAGTACATTTATCCCCTTGCACTTTCAACAATGATGTAGCTAAAGGTTGATAGCTAAAAATTTTAAATTTTTCGTCCAAAATATTTCTTCATTTAATATATTACTGGTAATATCTATAGGAGAAATATAACATACAGCTTTCAACAACTGATGCTTTCAGGGCTTTCTTACATATATTTATTTGCTCCATACATTTTATTTTTTTACTTAATGTAGATTGTATACCATGTTAATTCTTATTACGGGAAAATACTGCAGCTGATATGTGTTTATTCTTGAAAAATTTGACAATTTTTTTAATTATTGAAATATGGTAACTGAAGACGTTCAATCGTTTAAAATCGTGAAAGAATGACTGCAATGTACGCTGCACAATAATAACAGTGTATATGATTATAGATTCAGATTTTAAAATTCTCCAGGCTGCTTTCATGTAAGCGCATTATCAGTAACTAAAGAATATACTATTACCAGATTCAATTCATGAAATACATTTTTAAATTCCTGGGCAATATAATCTACCGTATGTCGATTTTCCTCTGTATTTAAAAATTTATAGAATACTGGAGCAGGGGTCATCACTATAAAATTAAAAATACTCTCGTTTCTGATGTTGCTTCAGCCTTCTGATACAATTGATAATTGAGGAGCTTTATCTATTATATCTGCAACTCTCGCTTCCATATCTCCTGACGCTTTGTCTAGAATATATTCAGCAACTACCTTCGCTGGGGTAAAGTGTAAATAGGACGTATTTTTTTAAAGAATTCTTGGATGTAAGGATTTTAAGTGACGTGGGAAGGTAAACTGCTCATATACAGCCTTTGCTTTTTTTCTTTGGGATTCATTCTATCTATGAAACCGGTTTTGCAATATTGAGATTTACATATGATCGCCTTGCTTGTAGATTAATCAGATATAATGGAATCAAATTTACCTTAGTCACAAGACAAAATAAGGTCAATTTGATAATCATTCTCACTAATTTCACCCAATTCTTTGTTAGAGTAAAAGAATTATTACAAATTACATTTATGTGATTTTTTGTAGAGGTTGATATTTTGGGATTTGAATAAAATTTTCTGCTTAATAAATGCTTGATCATTCTATTAACGTGGGTAATATAGGATATCTTGCAAAACTGTATACCGCTCTAACTGATTTACTATCGGGTACTTCTTGAAAATGTTTCCAAACTTGATGCTTTGGTTTGACCATAATCCCTAATATATTAAAATTTAACTATAAAAAATTTTGATTATTGTAAAGTTAATCAATCTTAATTATTTTATAATTATTGACCACAATTTGGCTTAATATTATATAAAATATATTAAAATACTAGTTGATAACCCATCAAGAATGACGGGAATAAAAAAATCATGAACTATTACAGGAAAATTTTTTTTGAGAACATTCAGTGAATTTTCTAAAATTTGGAAGTAAATTCCATTAAATAAGGAGATTGAAAGTATTTCTTTTTTTCATTATCTATATAAAAATAGCTGGTAGTAATTGAGGTATAGTTAATAGCCTGGATAACCTGATCAAACGCATGTCGCTGTAAAACATTTAGATTGGCTAACATTACCATTGTGACATCTGCTTCTATTATTGGGTCATATAAATTAGATTGAGTGATAGGGCCAGGAGATGGAAGATTAAAATCGTTGCGATTGAACCCAGGACAATCTACGCAGATTAGAAGTATAGAGGATATTCCTGTGGTAGCAAAGGTTAAGACATTTTTTTGTTGTCCTCTAAGATAGTGTAGTAGAGTATTATAAAGATATGTCATCTTACCTGATCCACCAGGAACATCTATATAGAAAAATCTGGTAGTAATTGAGGTATCGGCAATAGCCAGGATAACCTGATCAAAAGCATGTCGCTGTAAAACATTAACTCCTTACATAAAGATTTTATGAAAAATATACGTTCACCAAAAATTTTTTGGGAACTTTGCAAATAGTTTAAAATACCTATTTATCAATATCTTCCCATGCCAGAAAATTAACCTTCCTCACTAATCCTAAGTACTTATTATAAATTAGATTTAACAAATAAATTTAAATTATATTTAGCCAATTGAAAAATAAACATTTATCTCATATTACCACCCCAAAATATGCCAGTATTCTCAAACAATATTTGAACTCTGGAAATGACATACAATACCAATTTATAAATATCTACCTATATTTTTAAATATTCTGTATCTTAAGAATCTCAAATAAATAAATAAAGTTTGCTTAGTTAATAAAGAAAATAATTAAACATCTGTTTAATTACTGTCTCTTATATGCTGGGGCCTTTGGCAGATATACTATTATGTCCTGTTGTAATCATTTCGTTATTAATATCAACATGATATTGCAGATTGAGTATGGGTCAGTTGAGACTTTAAAATTGTTTTCTGATAACCAGAGGTAAGCTCAAACATGATTTAAATCTTGTGCCAACCTGGTGGTGATTTATTCTGTAATAATATCTATAAAAATTAAACATCTTTTTAATTACTGTCTCCTATATTTTGGTGCCTTTGGCAGATGTACTATTATGTCCTGTTGTAATCATTTCGTTACGATTTTTTTAATTAAAATAAAAAATGGTTGATTTTAAAATTAAATAATATAAATAACTATAAATCAATAAAATAAGGGCTTAATAAGCCAATAAAAATAAAGATTAATAAGCCAATAAAAATAAAATTGCATAACAATAAATAACATATATAAGAAAGATTATATTACAAAATTTTATATAGAAGGTGGCTGAGTTAGAAGAACGTCGGCCTTTAAAACGTTAAGTCATGGGTTCGAATCCCGTTATATACAAAAAATTTTCTTAAAATTTAACATTAGAGAGATATAGTCTCCATCGATTTATTTAACATTAAGAAGATAGGAAAGTTGATAGGAAAAATAAAAATTAACATTAAAAAGATAGGAAAGTTGATAAGAAAAATAAAAATTAACATTAAGGATATAAGAAAACGTTCATTTCTTGATTAAGGTGATTATATATATAGAACATTAAGAAGATAGGAAAGTTGATAGGAAAAATAAAAATTAACATTAAGAAGATAGGAAAGTTGATAAGAAAAATATAAATTAACATTAAGGATATACGAAAACGTTCATTTCTTGATTACGGTGATTATATATATAGAACATTAAGAAGATAGGAAAGTTGATAGGAAAAATAAAAATTAACATTAAGAAGATAGGAAAGTTGATAAGAAAAATAAAGATTAACTTTAAGGATATACGAAAACGTTCATTTCTTGATTACGGTGATTATATATTTAGATATTAAATGAATAAATTATTTTGTAAATTTGGCCAGAACAACTAAAAAGAAAATTAATTTATAAATTAAAATGTAGAATTAATATAATTTGTACCCCGCTAAATGTTAAATAAAATTTAAATTTATTAAAAAATAAACCATGACTTAGCTAAATTATTTTATTTATTTATTTTCGTAATAAAAAAAATCTTTTAATTTCGTCCTTCATGACACAAATATATTTTAAAATAAATTATTAACCTAATAAGATTGATAAACATGCTTTAATGCATACTAGTTAATTATATCAAAATATTTATTCACCAATAATATTTTAGAGTTCCGGACAAGTACTCCTCTGGTCAATTGACCGAATATGACCGAAATATGAAATAAAACTGAGATTTAATGAATGGCTCAGATTATAGATATATTAATGAAACTTGTAGTTTTAATTATTTTATTCTTATTGTAATGTTTATTCTTCATAATAAATTTAATTCCGCCAAAAAATTTTAAAAGTAAAAACAAATGAGTAATGATATATAACCTGAATATTATTAATTTTTTAGGATTTTAATTTGTCTATGCCAAAACACGCCGTCTATTAATTTATGCTTTCTCACAAAAAATTCCGATTTTTTTATAAATTTTTTAAAACATAAAATAATTAAAAATAGTTTAACCAGGAATTTACACTACCATTTTTTATTTTAATTCAACCATACTAAAAGGGCATATTGTTTTGTTTATTTTTTTAAAATTCATATTTTGAGAATGGGAAAAACAAAGAATTCTTAAAAAAAAGTATATTTTCGATCTCCAAAACTTTCCAATTTAAAAATTACTTCCTGTGATTCTGATGATGAAATGATTCTGTAAAAATATTTTGAAATCAATCTATATAAAAAGATATTTTTATAGTTAAAAATAATTTATTATTTAAAATTTTAATAGTTCTATATAGCATAATATTTTTGATTAGTTAAATGAAATTTTCTCAAGATATTTTCTTTTCCAATATATTCCATTAATTTAATTATATAAAAAGTACAGTTTAAAAACAAGTTTAAGATCCAAAAATTTTTTTTAAATAGCAATCTAAATACCTGAAATTCTGTTTATTCATGAGTCAGAGAAGATAAAGAAAATAGTGTAAATGTAATTTTTATAATATAAAATAAAAAATTTAATATCAGCTATGGAGGTGTCTATGATGTAAAAAACACTCAAAAAGACAATAATATATATCCAATTAAAAAAATAAGGAATCATCAAATACAGGCGCGTACGCAGTGGGGGAGGGGCAGGGGGACAACCCCCCCCCTCCTCCCAAGCCAAAAAATACAGATGCCGTATATATTTTTCAAAAATATTATTGTTTTTATTAATTTATATTCGTTAATATTTATTCCTATTTCATATTAAATATTTAATTACATTTATTTATCACATTCATCTACTAAGTTATTTTATCAATTAATTTCGATTTCAAGTTTTCGTGCGTGATATTTACTTATTATTTTCAAATTTTTAGTGGCGTAATATTTATCTACCATTTTCAAATTTCTAGTCAAATAATAATTATTTCTGAAACTCCTTGTCCAACAGGGAGAAAGAAATTGCAAGCTTGTCCAACGAGATATAGTCTTCGCCATCAAGCAGTAACCGCTTTTAAGGAGTTAGAAGAGCTGATTATTTGCTATTACTGAAATATCACAATGGCCTGAAAGAAATATATCCTCAGAAGCAAGAAAACTATTGATTCAATGCTTATTCAAAATTTTTTTTTCTCATTAGAATGTGTTATTTAATTATACAACTATATGTAATACTTTTCAAAACATGACATCGACTTGATTAAGAAGATGAGAATAGCGGAGAGCATTTTTGTCGAGGAACAATATCGAGGAACATTAGCGAGGAACATTAGCGAGGAACATTATCGAGGAACATTATGAAAGAAATAACGAGGAACATTATTGAGGAACATTATGAAAATTAATTTAATTATTATTAATATTGTTTTTTTTATCGAAAAGGAAAGAATTATTATTATTATGGTTTTTTTATCGAAAAGGAAAAAATTGTTTATTATTATTATTATTGTTATTTTTATTTTCGTTTTATGATGAATAACGATGAGGGGGTAGAAAGTGAATATATAATGGAAGCAAAAGAAATAAAATTATTATGATATGTTTTATTTTGTAATTTTTAATTGATGTATGTTGCGTGAAAAAAAAGAATAAAAGGAAATAAAAACCTACTGTAAGTAAAAATAGAAAAAAACAACATATAGATATATATATATAAAAAAAAAGGATAATAGTAAAAACCATTTCAATATAGGAGAATTAAGACGATTTAAATAATTTTATTAGAACTCAAGGAAATTAGGGCTAATGTTGATGAAGAATTTCATATTTTATATATTATTGTTGTAGAGCTATACGTGTTTATTATTTGTCTCCTTCGACTTACAGCAAGGCAAGCTCATCGTTAAAACATTAACATAGAATCAGTAGAAGAGTATTATAAAACAAATGTCCCCTCTCTTTGATACATTTGTAACACAAATAAATGAATGGTTTTTAATTCATCATGCAGCACTTACCAATCTGCAGATATTACTTCCACAAAAGCCTTACCGACCTTTTTCAGATGGTGATAGAAAAAAAAATATTTGTTAGATTTTTATCATGAAGAGGTTAAAGTATCTTATGATGCCTTATTAGCGGAATAGCTATGTTTATAAAATTAACTATGGTTGATATAATCACAAAAAATGATATGGATGCTTTGCATTTCAAACACATTTAAATTATATTCTCAATGTATTAAAAGGATTTATATATATAAGCAACTCTTCCAATTAATAAACTAATGAGAGAACATTATCTTTTTTAATAAGAATAACAGAGCCTGCAGAGGTACCATTTGTAAGGCACGGCCCGGATTTTTTTTTAAATTTTTTGCCCGGTTCGTGTTTTTTTAAAAAAAATTTCAGGCCCGCCCCGGTTTTTTTTAAAATAAAATTTTCAGGCCTGGCTCGGATTTTTAAAAAAATAAATTATATTTCTTTTTGATTTTTATAGCTGATAAATGATTTCAAATATAGGCTGCTTTAAAATATACAACCCGACCCGGATTTTTTTAAAAAAATTATCAGGCCCCGCCTGGGTGTGTTTTTAAAAAAATTTCGGGCTAGCCCGGGTATATTTAAAAAATTAACTGCAGGTCTCTGAAAAACATACCAAGAAGTACAACTTCTGAAAGTAGATTGAAAGGTTTGGTTTGGATCTTTTGAATATTCATAGGCATTTGACGACAAGCAAGGATGAGATAATAGAAAAATTAGCTCAATCCCAACGAAGATTGGATTTTACATGTAAATATATAACATACAAAATACAATTATTCTAAGAAACTTTTTGTGTATTAAATTTTTTATGTATTTAAATTTTTAAGGCTCAAAAAATTCAAATTTCTATTTTGGGTCATTTAAGTGATTCATATAGTAGTTATATTCACTTTATATTTTGTAATTCACATTTATTTTATAGTTTTTCTATACCGTCAGGTTATATACGTTTAATATTTTTTTAATTCACATTTATTTTATAGTTTTTTATATGACGGTTTATACATATAATTTTTTTATAATTCACATTAATTTAAAATTGTGTATCAGAAATAGTTATTAGTTCTAATAAATTTATGCTTGATATTTTTAAAAAACAATATTTCTTAAAAAATATCCCCCCCCCTACCAGACCAAATTCCTGCGTACGCGCCTGATCAAATAATATCCAACCATATGTCAGAAAGAATAATTATTCTGCAATAGCCGAAATGACATTCATCTATCACACTATAAAACATTTGTTTAGTTATTTATCTATAAATTGCACTACATATTTATTGCCTATTCTCTTTCGATTCAAATATAGCCCAAAACATTAAATGTGGAAGAAAAAAAGCTCCAAAATTAGTGTAAATATCATAGGCCCTGAAAAGAAACATCTTAGAGGATGAAGGAAAGTCATCCATTTTTTTATTATCGAATATATCAAATAATGGTAATTAAAACATTCCAAATAATGCTGCGCTATATAAATAAAGAAAGAGGTGTTTCAAGCAAATATCTAAAAAGATTTTATCGGATTATGAAAAATCGAGATATTGCTTCTATACTGGTCAGAGCCATGAAAATTATAACCTCAAATGTAACAGGCTTTTGTGCCAATAATGGAAGTAATTTCGGAAAAAAGTAAAGTATAATGATTGAATTATTATTTTTGAATAAATACATTCAATGGCCCTTACAACGGGGGAAGTCCGAAGCAACTGCTTCAGTAAATTTGAGTGGGGGTACTTTCTTTTTTTTAAATAAAGATTTTTTTTTAAAATTTTTTTTAAAAATTTTCTTTAGTATTTAATTCTTTTACTGTTTTGTTACATTACATCCATCATGATCAAGTGATTTGGTTTATAAATGTAATAATAAGACCCCCCCCCCCCCAACGTATTTTTTAATTTAATATATAATGACGGAAATTTTTCTACTTATTTTTTTAAGCATAATATGAATAGATAGTAGTATTCATATTTTAATTTAAATATCTTATCTTCCCTCCCTCCCTTTTCTTAGGAATCAAATGATCCCATCAATATTGTTGGAAAAAGAATTGACAAATTTATAATTGATAAATATCTAATTAGGAGCTCTTCAACCTACACATTATTTATTCCCCAAAGATATAATAATAGAAACAGATCCTTTAACGAAAGCTTTTATGAAAAAACTAATATTGACAATAGTAAAATTGCTAGAAATTGGATTACTTATAGTATTAAAATGAATAAAGTTTTTTGCTTAACATGTCTCTTATTTGGAGGTCCACACACAAATTCAAAATCAATAAAAATTCGATATTAAAATTTATAACACCCCAGAAAGAATGTGTAGAAAATAACCGTTCTGTCATAAGAATTATAATAAGATGTTTAGATTATTTAATATCTCGTAACCAAGCCTTCTGGGGGAACAGGCAACAAGAAGACAATATGATGGCCCTTATTAAACTTATTGCAGATTCTGAACCTGTACTAAAAATGTATATACAACAAAATGAAGAAAGAAAAAGGGATAAAAAAAATAAGGGATTAAAAACGAAATTATACTCAAATCTATTATCATAATAAATATTCTCATTAAAACCATGAAAAATATGGTTATAAAAAAATTCAAAATGAGATTACATTTAACAGGTGCTTTTCAATCATAGTTGATTCGAAATCAGAAGCAATTGCTTTGATAGTAAGATATGTTGAAAATAGTGAGACGCCGAAGCCTGTTGAAAGACTGATTGACATATATTGTACTGGAAATACCACAGGTCTCGATATTAAGCATAATATAATATCCAAACTCGGCTCGATGAATTTTCCCCTTGTATTTCTAGTTGGGCAAAGTTATGATGGCGCCTCAAACATGAGTGGAAGAATCAATGGTGTGCAGGCCTTGATTAGAGCAAGGCGCCAAAGACAGCTTTTATTTGGTGTTATGTCATCAATTAAATTTAATCCTTGTTCAATTATGCCAATCAATATAAGAACTTCGAAATATTCTAGGAATACTAGATGAGATTATATCTATTTTAATGGTGTAAAAAGATATGAGGTACTCAAAAAATGTCAGTGTAATGATCTGAAAAAATCGCAACGATTTCTACGCATCAAGAATACCACTCGGTAATAGTACCTTATTTATTTAGATTTAAAATAATTTTCCATTTAGAAGCTGGCTATCGTCATATAAAGCTATTGTAAATTTTTTTTTACTTTATGATGCCTTGAGGGCAGCTTTAACAAATTTAAAGGATTCTGAAGATCCTGTCACTTCCACTATGGCTAGTGCTATAGTCTTTAGAAAAGAAAAATTTGATTTTATCTTATCACTTTGTGTTTTGGATAAAATATTGTTGATAACAAGTTTGGCTTGTACAAAATTGCAAACCATTTCGAAGGATATAGGGTTTGCAATAAATCAAATTCAATTGACAAAAGATTGCTTGATTAATTTGAGAAGTATAATATAAATTATCGTCTTAATTATTTTTTAATCTAATAGATAATAACACTGAATTTTTGAATGTTTTTTCAAAGGCACAAGATTTTATGAAGGAGAGAAATCTACCATTTGATTTTGAAAGTTCTAGACTTCAAACATTACATTCCAAAAAGGAGAGGTATACTTTCATCATTAAATATAGAAATTTTTTTTAGCTTTAAAATAGGAGTGTTTTATGCTGCACTTCCTACAATCTCATGTACTGCCGAAAGAGTCATGAGTAAAATTAAATTAATTAAAACAAGACTTCGTAGTACCATGAAAGATTCATTTCTTAATAATTTAACCATATTATCAATGGGAAAAAATCTATTTAAACAATTAAATATTGATGAAATTATAAATTCGCTTTCTCTTCCCCTAATTTATCTAAATTATTAATTTAAAAATAATATTTATAAAGTAATTTTATTTGCATTTTATTTATATTATATATTAAAAATTGATGCAATAAAAATTATTTTTGAAATTTATGGGTGTCGTAAAATAATTATCATTTTTTCGAGAGGGGGGTACTTTTCAAGGGGGTACTTTTCAGGAGGGTATTCTGCTTCATTCGCTCAGTGTAGGGGCCACTGAATACATTATCCCAATTTGTTACCTGTGCCATACAATTCAAAATACATGAAGAAAGGGGCATGCTTCTGTTGTATATTATATTAATGTTTTAAAATTATCTTCGTTATTTTTGAGGTTACTTGTTTTTCATTGATTTATTTTATTTTTCTAGTATGGCAATAAACGGCAGAATTTTAAAATCATCAGCTATTAATTAATATTTTAAATTTAATTATATTCAATTTATGCTTAACATACGACTTTGAAACGGGAGGCTTGTGTTCGACTCTCGTA